TTAAATTGCATTTCATCAAGATGCCTCACAAAACTGCTCTTTTTTTTTTTTTTGTCAGAAAGGTCACCTATCTCTGTCACTCCAGGATTGGTTACTGGTGATTTATTTACTTTGTTTAGTGAGGTCATGATTTTCTGGAAGGTAGTGATGCTTGTGGATGTTTGCCAGTGTCTGGGCATTGAATAATTAGGTATTTATTGTAGCCTTCACAGCTCAGGCTTGTTTATATTGGTCATTGGGAAAGTTTTCTAAGTATTTGAAGACTTGGGTGTTGTGATCTAAGTCTTCAGTCATTGCAGTGGTATCTATATTAAGGGGCTCCACTCTTGTTGACTCATAGAGGTACTACCTTGATGGTCTTAGTTAAGATCTGAGATAATTCACCGGATTATCAGGCAGAATCTTCTTGTTCTCTTCCCTTACTTTCTCCCAAACAAAGGTCGTCTCTCTCTTCATCCTGAGCTGCCTGGAATTGGAGGAAGGGGTGAAGCAAGCAAGTTCATTATCAACACCACTGGGACTGTGCTGGGTCCCACTTGAAGCCAGCAGAGTACTAGGCCTCATCCGAAGTCTCCGGTGACTATTGCCTGGGTACCAGTGATGTTTATTCAAAGGCCAAGGGTTCTTTAGTCAGCAAGTGGTGGGAGAGAGCATCCTGCCAGGCCTGGGTCTTTTCCTTTAGGGCAGTGTGTTCCCATCTGGCCCAGGGTAGGTCTAGGAATGCCATGCTGGAGCTATGGCCTGGCACTAGGAACTTTAGAAACCTACTTCATACCATATTTTACTGTGGCTGAGGTGGCACCCACATTGCAAGCAATGTCCTTTTCACTCTTCTCTTTCCTTTTCTCAAGCAGAAGAAGGCTCTCTCTCCATGGCCACCATCACCCCAAGGCCATGGCAACCACAGCCTGGCTACTGCTGATGTTTATTCAAAGTCCAAGGGCTCCTTAGTCAGCAGTTGGTGAATTGTGCCAGACCTATGTCTCCTTTCAGGGCAGCGGGTTCCCTTCTGGCTCAGGGAAGGTTGAGAAATGCCATCTAGGAGTTAAGGCCAGAACTGGAGGCTTTAGGAGTCTGCTTGGTGCTTTATTTTACTGTGGCAGAGCTGATCCCCAAGTTGCAAGATAAAAGTCCTTTTCACTCTTCCCTCTCCTTTCCTCAGGCAGAAGGAGTCTCTTCTCAGGGCCAGCATGCATATCTGGGAATGTGCTGGGTTACAACTGAAGCCAACACGGTTCTGGGTCTCATCAAAGGCCTGTGGCAATTGCTACTTGGCTACTTTACCTCGGTCATTAGGTAAAGAATTCTGCCAGGGCTGTGTCCTTCCCTTCAGGGAAGCAAGTTCCCTTAAAAGGCATAGGGTGGGTCTAGAAATGTCCTCTGAGAGCTGGGGCCTGAAATAGGGGCTTTAGGTCTCTGCTTGCTGTTTTATTTTACTGTGGCTGAGCTGGTATCCAAGTTATAAGAAAAAGTCCTCTTCATTCTTCCCTCTCCTTTCTTGCATACCCCACGTCCACTAGCTCTAAGTCCAGTACGACACCAGGACTTGCTCAGGAACTGCAGTCCTTGTGGCCTAGACTTTCGAATTTATCTGGAACCCCAGGGTACTTTAGCGTGCAGTGCTGGGTCTAGCTAGAACTTAGGTTCTGAATGCTGGGACAGGCAATACCCCTCTGGCTAGGGCTGGGCCAAAGGTTCTCTTTGTGGGTGCTCGCTGAATTCTGCCCATGTTGCCTTCTGCTGTGACAGGGCAGCAATGAGTTCCAATGCAAAGTCCCACAATCACTGTGCTTTCCCTCCCCCAAGCAAACAGATTCTCTCTTTCCATGTCCCACGTGGTGCTGCCAAGATGTGGGAGAGGGTTGGTATAGGGAATTCAAGACTGTCCTTCTTACCCTCTTCTGTGCCTCTTTGCTTGAAATAATGTTAAAATGAGGTGCTGTGATTGCTAACCTCATTTCTGGTTCTTATGAAGGTACTTTCTTGTGTGGATAGTTGTCCAATTTGGTGTTCCTGAAGGGAGGACAACCGTTGGAGAGTTCTATTCAACCATCCTGCTCAAATTTATATTTTCTATTCCCCCAACTGGTTACCTCTCCTGGCTTTGCTATCCTCAGGAATAACACCACCAGCATTCTTTCTATTGTTCAAAGTGAAACCTTACATTTTCCCTTCTTTACTCCATGTCCAAACAGATCCTGAGTTCCTTTACTACAAGGGCTTCATAAACTTTTTCTATTCTATTGCCATTATTTTAGTTCATGCCCTAATTATCTTTTAGGTGTGCTGCAATTTCTCATAATTAATATCTGTATTTCCAATCTCTTTCCTCATGAAAGCTCCCTTACACACTGGTGCATGAGAACTTTTACTAAAGCCTACATTTTTATCAAGTAGCTCCCCAGTCAAAAACCTGCAGCAATTCATATAAAATCATAGAAAAAAGACTAATTAATATGGCATTAAAATCTTCTATTATGTGATCTCCATCTATGTTTTCAGCTTTATCTCTTAATACTTCTTTCTATAGTCATCATTCTCCAATTAATCCATTGTACTGTCCATTATCTAAGAATAGTCTATGATTTCTAAGAGCTGAAATGGCTTTCTTCATTTTTTCCTGCTATAATCTTGTTCATTTCCCAAATCTAGGCTTAAAAGTCTTTGTCTTAATCTCAGTATCTCTCCCCTTCTCCCCTGCCATTTATTTTTTCATTTTTCTTGTCCTTTGTTCTCCCATGGAACATTTTTGCTCCTTGTTCCTTTTCCATTTATTGCATTAAGACTTACATCACAGTTTGGGTTTCATACAATTCTTTCCCTCTACTTAAGGGTCAGGGACAGTGCTGCAAAGATATAACAAAGGTTGCAGTAGATGCCAGGTATTCTGTAAATGTACTTTGGTATGATTATATTACACTACCAAGTATAGAAGGGTTTAGTCTAGGAGCATTACTTTAGCACTCTGCAGGTGAGAAGGATCACATACAAATTGCTACGTGTCTAGTATTTGTTTGGATTTTTTCATGGAAACGAAGAGGACATTTGTTTCCCAGAATAGTACTGTACTCTTTAGTGTAGATAACCCATCACATTGATTTATTCGTAGGCATAAAGAGACAGACAACACAGCACATTCTGTAGGTTAACTGGGGCACATTTGTGCTATCTGTCACAACTACAGCCTCCTCTCCTAGATGCTCTGATGTTATGTGGAGCTGGGTGGGAAGAAAGTAGGGAACCATCTCTCTCTGCCCTCAATGTCATGAGCAGCACAAGGTGGTGACAGATGATGCAGGCTACTTACTAAAAAGCACTGGCTCTTTTCTTCTTACTGTCAGAGTAAAATTCTGTCTGGGTGTGTCCACTTTACCAAGGGATGTCTTCCTGAGGCTCAGGGGGTCATTCCTGATTAACCCACTCATGGTAATAATCATTTTTCTTCCTAGAAAATTTTTCTGGGAGATGTAAGACCCAACTTTGGTCCATAAAATATGAAAGAAATTTTGCTAAAGAAGTAGCTTCACTGTTGAAGAGATACACAAAAAAATCTGTCTGCATTTTGTTGTGTCTGAAGGCGGGTGACACTTGGAGTCATGGCTCTTATCTAATGATTATTAACAGGGGCCACCATTTGGACACTGCTGGCACCCTGAGAATTGAAAGCAAAAAGAATGAACTGGGGAACCTGATACTGTCACACTGCTGGGGAAACTAGACTTTAGGATTTTTGTTAAGTGACAAATACATTTTCCTTATTATTTGAGCCAGCTGAGTGGGAGGGTTTCTTTATTGTAGCTGGAGACACCCTGACACATAGGACTTCATGTGGGCATCAGGCACCTTGCTCAGGTGGCAGATGCTAATCACTGTTAGGGCTTCAGGGGACAAGCACATTATTTCTACTGCCTGCTGGAAAAATTGGGCTGATCTGTTGCTAGGTCCTGAATCTGTCATTTTTTTTTCATGGATCTAGTAACATGTCTTTAAAATATACTGTATATTTCCTTTGTAATAATATCAAACTTACAATGACTAATGTTTATCTCCTTTACTAGTTTAAAAGCTCTATGAGGGCAGTGACTGTATCTGCTAGTATATTTCCTTTGTAATAATATCAAACTTACAATGACTAATGTTTATCTCCTTTACTAGTTTAAAAGCTCTGTGAGGGCAGTGACTGTATCTGCTAGGAGAATTCCTGTATTTACAGTAATTAGCTCCGAGTCATCACAGAGGTGTTCAGTAAACAGGTACTCAGTAAGTATCTGTAAAATGCATGAAAGAAAGAGTAAATGAATACACAGAGAACATCAAAAACATTCTTCCTGGTTATTTCTATTGCTCACATCGCCCCTTCCTTGCCTTCTTACCAATTCAGGCCTACAAAGGTATGCCATGTCTTGAATTTTAGGGGAAGAAACAGAAAAAGGAAGGAAGCTATCATTACAACTATTGTTGCTCTCTCCCACTGAGTGGAGAAAAGGAAACAAGTCTCAGAGGTAACTTACAAAATATTTTCATAGAGTAAAACTACAGCCGTATCCCATATTGCTTACTGGATCTAAACAGCATTTAAGAAATGTTATTTCAGAAATGTTCAGTTACACTTTTTAAAGCCTGGTCCCCTAAGTCCAGAGCCTCTGCTATTGTCTCAGGAGACTTCATTTACTGTCTTCTGTGTTGGTGGATGTGGGGACCTGGACAGCAGGGCTCCATATTGAAACCTTCAAGACAGCAAGATCCACAGCTCTTTCCTTTGATGTGAACCACGTCTGCACTAACCTCTCTGTTTAAAGCCAAAATGAAGCTTAGGAATAATTCAGTATAACTGAGCTGAGCAAAGATTTATCCATCAACTGTTTCAAGTTCCTCATTTTTCAGATGAGGAAAATCAATGTTTCTGTTATCAAGATCAACCTTAGTCTTTTTTTTTTGTCCTATAATATAATAAAGAAGTGAATGTGGACAGTTATATTCACTTGTAACAAAAAGGATATTTCCCTGGCAATGCTGTTCCAACTCGGTAGTCAGTGTAGCTCTTGCTTGGATGGAAGTTGAAAATGAAAAGAAGACCTGCTCTTTCAAAAGCAATGATCTTATTGCCTTCATGTTTTTCACTCACATAGGCCTGCAAGAATTAATACACGTGTTACATTTAAATAATATCTAGATGCTGCCACAAGTACCTTATTTTTCGTCTTTCTCAATAGTCTGGTTATTAAACCCAAAATAAGTATTTCAGAACACTATATTTTTTTGAACATGTTACAATTTTGCTATACTTAACTGTGAACCAAGAACAGTCTCAAAAATTGCTTAGTGTTGTATACACAGCTCACCAGCCACTTGCCGACCTCATAGCTCAAATAGAGAACTAGTATTGTGGCTCAGGTTTTAAGTAAAACCATGGTACCCATACATACTACAAAGTGTTTGTATATATTAGATCTAATAAGTGAATTTTCTTTAAGACTTCTAGTCTCCAGCTTAATGCGGTTAGGTATATAAAATTACTTTTCAAAATGTAATGTAACATTGTTATTTTAACGTAGTTTCTGAAATTATAGCTCTCTTAACCATTTTCCATTTTTACCCAACTTTGTCAGATTCAATGGCAACCTAAAGTCAATTACAACACTTTTTTTCTTAATAAAAAGATAAGGTCTGAAAAGAAATTATATCTGTAAACTCTCTTCTTTTATTCATCATCATGTATTTTCAGTTGGCTGTGAAAAGCCTTTGCTTTTCCAACTCCATCCTCACTCAGCCCGAGCTCTGAGAGGACTTATTGCTGTGCATGTCATCAGCAGCAGCACTCTTGGTAATTTAGAAAGTGAACTAAAGCTCTAGAGTAAACGGGGTGCCTTTTGGTATTCAACACTGTTCCTATTGAAAAGGAGCATCATTTTGCTCTCTCCTCTGGAAACAGCATTTCTAATAAACGTGATTAGGGCATTCATGTCATGGAGCAAATCTTACTGAATATATAAATACCTTTGCTCACCCATTAAAAAAAAAAAAGAATCATAGACACCAAAGTAAAAACACATCAACAGTAATTTCAAACAGCCCCAGTATAAAGTAAATGGATTATAACAAAGACATATTACATGTTAATTTTTGCCAAGAAAAAAGAAGCCTGTATAAAATTTTCACTTGTTAATTACATTTTCTAAAATTTGTTGAAAACTGAGACGTTAATTCCAGAGGACAGACAGTCTCATGAAAAACACAAAACAGCATGCAGGTATAATGGCATCTATTGAAATTACAAGTTAGAGACCAGTAAAGAAGAGAAAAAAAAAGAAATAAAGAAATCTACATGTTGTCAAAGTAGTTTCTTTATGACAGCATAATTATTTACATAAAAAAGTGGTCAAAACAATTAAGATGTTTCCACAGCAATTTCCAAAATGGGTTCCCTGCAGAACTTTTATTGTTTATTTTCACCAATAAAAATACAAATGACTAAATTTACACAGTAACAACAAACAAACCAGGAAACTAAGCAGGCCATTATGTTTAAGATTTTCATTATCAATTGGAGAGACTTCAGTGGCATGTTTTGACAACCTGAAGTATGTTACAGGACACTACACACTGAATAATAAAATGCTGTTTAAAAGACCTGCATATGGATTGAAATCGGTTGCCATTCTAAGCATGTTCATCACTGGTGACTAAAACACAGCATTCAGAGTAAAGAGCTTACCTGTGGAGCTGAAAGCCAACCACATCTTTCTTCCAATCTATTCATATCCCTGTCAAAATTGTTTAGGAACTTGTAGCGAAGAAGGTCATCATCAGTTAAATGAAACTGCCGTCTGGCATAATGGTAACTCTCATTATTTCCTTTTCTTGGGAAGTCTAACCATTCAGGATGCCCAAATTCATTACCTGCATTAAAACACAAATGTAAATGTCACCTTGTAATATTAGAATTTCTTACTAATAATAAATCAATAATTATACATTTTTAATGTTTTTAAAATTCAGTTTAGGCTATCATTTACTAGACCTGTGTCCTGCGAATGATGTACAGGTGTAGCTCAAAAATAGCATGGTCTAGCACAGAAAGAACCACATTTGGACTCAGAAGCCCGGGGTCCAGCTTCAGTTTGGCTGCTCATTACTTGTGGCACATCCGGTTTCCTCAAGCACAAACTGAAGACAATTATTGATGCCATACTTATTTCATTTCTGAAACAATCTCTGAGATCTCAGAGTAATTTCTGAAATCTCGATTTCTATAATCTCTGAAATCTGTACAACGCTTGACAATTTCCAAAGGCTTTGTATGTAGGTTATTTTTTGATCCTCAAAGGAACTCTCTATTATATTCATTTCACAGACGAGAAATCCAAAGCTCTGGCCGGTTAAAAGACTCGCCCAGCTTCACACAGTGGGAAAGCATCCATTAAAATTGAGTTCCTCCCAATAAAATCCAGTTTTTCCTACCACATCACATTAGGCAAATACCTTATAAACTTCAGCTGCTAAGGAAACTCAAGCCATTACTTTTATTTTTAACTTTCCATATTTCTTTTTCAGATCTATTTGTTACTACTAGATATGTACCTTTCATTTCAAGTGTGCCCGAATGCTTACGCTTATTCTTCTGTGTGTACAGCTGACAGCACTGGCTGGGGATCTATATAATATTATCTCTCACTATAATGATCAGAACCAGGAACCCAATAAACTTAAAAAATAAAACAGTAACAAATACGTAGTTTCCATTCTGAGAAGCAATTTTAGATATTAGTCATCTAACCAATTGGTTCTTATTGTTGCCCTCAAGTTCCATCTCTACTTTAAGCCTTCTTTTCTTTCCCTAAAAATTAAATGCTACTTTCCAAAATTTTCTTTCATGTGCTACAATTAATTATGGCTGTGATTTTCTAATTAGTGCTACAAATTTCTAATTAATGCTGCAAATTTCTAATTAATGCTATAAATTTCTCCAATGAGTTAGAAAGTATCATAGCCAATACAAATGTGTCCTACTTCAAATAAACTGCATAGTAATATTATAATAAATAAAAACTAATAAGCTAGGATGTAATTCAAAATAATTTACTGCAGAGGTGCTTTAAATAGTGAAGTTTGCTAAGAAATTCTGCAACTTACATTTAACTTTTCAGGACCACATTCATCCAAACAAAAATATCATCCAAATAAATAGGTGTATAGCAGTTTCTTAAAAATTAAAGGGTCTACAAACATTTTGCTTAATTCAAATTTCAGTCTAAATGATATTCCTTATGATGTTGTCCACAGCATGTCATAGCAGAGAGCCGACTTTATGAGGCTATATTTACTTTCGGATGCTTTAAATTGACACGAGGAATGTCCCTCTGCTGTATTTAAAGGTCCTGCCTAGGTCTAAAGTCTGATTCACACCAGCCCAAGGTATACCCATGGCACAGCTTACTCCTTCAACCATGAAACTAGCAAAATAATGTACCTCCGGAATTGCAACTGGAGCAATCTTTACTGATAATGAAGGGACTTCCAGTCTGGGAACAAGTATATGTCCACATACCAATCCAATGACTAGTGGGATTTTAACTAGTCGGTGATTTACGAGAGACTAGAAATGCCATGAGGTAGAGATAGTATGTTAGCCTACAAACTGGATCCAGGCTTCCTATAGGCAAAATACTTTTTTGGGGGGACAGCCGTGGATCTCTGGGTTGATCCCAGTATTAATAAGCAATTCCTTTAGCCCTCTTCCATGGAGACTGTTACATCATTGTCATCATGATGACAGTAGAAGCAGCAGCACAATGAGCAATTCCTTTAGCCCTCTTTCATGGAGACTGTTACACCATTCTCTTCAGGATTATAGTAGAAGCAGCAGCACATGCTTAATTTCTGTTTAATACGTGCCGGGCACCATTGTAAGCATTGCACATGAATTAACCCTATCTTCGACAATTGTCTAAGGTAGGTAATATTATTATTTCAATTTTACAGATAAGGAAACGGAGGCACAAAGATGTTACACAGTAATTAAGGAGTTGGGCCTTGTGAACCAGACAGTCTGGTTTCAGCCCCTGACTCTTAATTACTACTATCGCATGTTGTGCCCAAGTAAATTCTATAGAAATCCAGGGCCAAGAATGACCAACTTCTCATACCTGGACAGAGATTCCAAATTAGTGGAATGACATGCACAAATGTATCTGAGTGAGAAAGTGAGATGTAGTGAAAAGTTTAGTTTAGCCACAAAATAAGACTTGCAGTAAGGAGATAAAGCAGGACCATTAGGATGAACTGTATACATTTCGTACCTCATATTGCAGGCATTAGGGAATCAAAGGCTATTTTAAAGTAGGGACATGAGAATTTCAAATGTGTTTATTATTAAAATATTTCTGGTACCATGTGGAAAAAAGACTGGATACCAGGGAAAGCTGAACGGTAGGAAAACCAGTATGGAATCCAGTGTAAAACAGATGATGAAATTCTGTGGAAATAGAGAAAAGAATGATCGATTCAAATGGCATTTCTGAGATGGAAATAACAAGATTTGATAACTGACTGACTGAATAGAGACAGTGAGGAAAAGGAAAGTCGGAATGCAACTTTGAAGTTTTGAGTTCAGGAGGCTGAGTAGTGACAGCGTTAACTACACTAGAGGAAAACGGTGACAGAAAGTTTGGGGTAAGAAGATAATGAGTTCAATTTTAGGCCTGCTAAATTTAAGACGTGAAGGATACATCAGCATCTGTAGATTTAGAAGAATGATAAAAATAAGGTATTGAAACTTGAGAGAGAATTGTAGGTGGGGAGAGAGAGTAATTTATAAAGCCTCAATAAGCAAAGATAATGAGAGCCACCAGAGAAAAAAGGCCATGGCCAGCACACCAAGGAACTGACGGCAGAGAGAAGCCATGTTAGGGAAGACTGAGAGCAATGGTTAGCAGGGTAAAGGGGACATTAGAAGAAAACATAGAAGGCTAAGAAGAATCCCAAGGAGGGTGGTCAGTAGCATTAAATGCTACCAAAAACTAAAATCATAAATGAGAACTTGCTACATGATCTCCCCTCTGATGCAGAAATAAGCTGGTGTAAAGCTATGCTTTTCAATCTATATTACATTCCAGAATCACCAAGGAAGGCTGTTAAAAATGTTCCCCCCCTACCCCCAATGATATGGATATATTACTTCTGGAGTGATTATTAGGCTGGAATCTATATTTTATCAACTTTTCCATAATATTCTGAAAGTAGTCAGTTATACAACATGATGCCCATGGATGCAGATTCCCACGTCAGCAAGACTTGGGTTTAAATCACAGCTATGCCACTTATGAGTGATGTGAATATAGGCAATTTAATCTCTCTAGCGTTCAGTTTCCTGCTCAGTTTCCTCATCTATAAAATCATCATTCTGAGGAGAGAACCAGCTGCCCATACAGGTAACAAGGATGAATCCAAAGAGCAGCTAGCTATTTGGCTCTTCTTCATACATGTTTTCATGGAATGGCCTTATTCCTTTCTTTAAAGTGCTGAAGTTCTGCACAGATGCATTTATTCATATTTTAATAATACAAACACATATCCCAAAGTCAACTATGAATGTGCTTTGAATCACCTACAGTTTTAGATCTTAAATGACAGAATTGAAAATACAAATAACGTTGTTACAAGATACCCAGACTGATAGGGTAAATCAGATAACTATGTTAGGAATCCTACATCCACCCTCATGGAAGCTAGAACACTCCTGGCACCTGCTGGCCTCCCTAACTCCCGTTTCTTCCTAGCCTGCTTGAAAATGTGACCTGAGGTCACGCTGTTGCTGCTTGCTATCTTTACCAACTGCCTTGGGTAGATTAATGAGGTGAAAACAATAAATTCATTTTCACTGTATAGTTTCGCTTGCTCTTAGTATCTTGCCTTGGTAGTGGAGTTTTCAATAGTAAAGAAATGAATGGTGAGTTTGACTAAAACTATCAGAGGATGGTATTAACTCATCCCACAATCTGATTAAAAGCTAAGTAACTGCTCCCCAGGAAAACACACACACAGACACACACACACACACACACACACACACACACACCATGATACAGCCTCAGAGGGTCCATGGACTCCATAAAAATGTGAAATTACATTATTATTTATTTCTAACATTCCAGTATGAAAAATGCACATGCTTATAATCTACAGCATAAATAATGGTGATGGGCTGCAAGTTGCCCCCTTCCCCCCACCCAAATTCATATGTTGAAATACTGACTCCTAATGTGATGGCATTTAGGTGACGGGGCTTTGGGAGGTGATTAGGTCAGGAGGGTTGAGGCCTCATGAACAGGACTAATGTTGTTATAAAAGAGGCCCCAGAGAGCTCCCTGTTTCTTCTGCTATGGAGGATACAGTGAGAAGACAGCCATCTGTGAACCAGGAAGCAGGGCATCACCAGACATCAAATCTGCCAGTGCCGCGATCTAGGACTTCCCAGCCTCCAGACTATGAGAGATAGCTTTTGTTGTTTAAGCCACCCAGTCTATGGTGGTTTGTTACAGTAGGATGAACAGAGTAAGATAATAAGGACTAAGGACTGAAGAGTAGCAAAATTACAATTAAATAGGTAAGGCATGTAAATTATTTAGAAGCATATAAGATACACGGTATGTGCTCAATAAATATTGACTTCCATTATAATGTTTTATTTTTCTTTTATTTATTAATTTATTAAGTAATCAACACATAGAAATATTATTAAAAATCACAATTACACACAGAGATGTTACAAAATAATCTGTTTTTCTCTTGATAAACATTGTATTTATTTTTGTCTATATCCACATCTGTATATTTATATCTGTATCTATAGTGATACCTATACATACATTCATACCTATCTACCATCTACCGACAACTTG